CAATAATTATCTACTTAATGCATAGGATTATATAACATCAATGAGATAATTATGTTGCTAAAAGTTAGATTTTTTTAACAAAAAAATTCCTAGAATGAAAGGTGGATACAGATGAACATATACATACATACATACATACCTGTCTACACTTGCTGCAAACCTTCCTTCCGCAAACTTTCGAGTTGAACGACTTCTCCTGAAAGGTGTTCTCTGTGTCAGAGCTAGAGAGTGAGAGGGAAGAAATCTAGAATAGTGTTTTCGATGATTGTCCAATAATTAACCAAACAAGAAATTGGGTCATAGCAATGCGGATTCTTCTTCAAGTGTTCTTTGGTTTTTGGGTTTATTGATAATTTTATTATTTTTGAAAGCCCATGATTTTATACAGTTAAAAAGACATTGTGTTTATTTTTTTATGTCTGTGCTTGGGCCAATATCTTTTTCACCAAAAAAGAAATATTATTTAAAATATTTGTTGTAAAAAAATTATTATGGAACTTGGCAGAAAATAAAATAATTTATAGATTTTACAATCAGTTTTTCCTTGATTAATAATAAAAAAAATTTATCCTTGAGATTGATTTATTCTATTTTTAGCAAATCTACTCCAAAAAATGATGATCACAGACAGCCCTTACTGAAACCATTTGCAAGGAAATGGGGAGTGTTCGAAAAGCCACATCATTGCTTCAAAGATTTAATTTCAGAATAAGAAAATGTTATTTTGTCATGTTCCAAACACCTCCTTTCTTCATAATAGTTTATAGAAGAAGCTTCACTGCCGTACTCAATGCACTCCTTTGGAATCATGATTTCTTTTGACTGAATATCAAATAGGCCTTAGTACATTGTGTGTTCCTAAAAGTAATGGGGCTTCTGGTCACTATGCACTGCGCTCATAACTTCGACTAGGATTGCTTCGAAGGTGCCTTTTCTGGTCAATATTTCATAAGGGGAGGACATTTGGTGGAACAAGGAAGCTTTGAGCACAGAAAACCATTATGAAATTGCATCCAGACCCAAGATATATGTATTTAGTTGCACTCGATTATAACTCGAAACTATACGCAGTGTATTCAACAATATATAAGTCGATCAGGACATTATATCATTAGTTGTGAAACTTTCTATTGTCCATGAAAATTGGTAAAATACCTATAATCTATAACTACTTGTGGTTATATATAAAATTGTTTACAAACTTCCAGTCATAGTTATAAATGATCACTATTCAAAATCTTACAAGAATATTCTTACAATTCTAATATACCTATAATCTATCCAATCACAAACGTTAATTAGTGCAAACCTAGAGCAATCTTGAATGAAGAATTGTCAGAAGAAATGAAAATTTCTGAAATTATCATACAGCTATACAATCTTGTGTATATGTATGCAATATAGTAATCTCAAACTAACAATTCGTCGGTAAATAATAAATATTCATGAGAAATCTATATGAACTATAATCCTCCATATTCTATTTTTTTCTTGGAATAAAAAATAAAAAACTCCAAACTTCTTCTAACAAATCAACCAAACAAATCACAAATAAAAATGAGTCAATCAACTCAATGTGTTTTTTCCGGTTCATTCAAGATGTACCTTAATATTTTCGGGAATATTCTTAACCTTTGATGCCCAATGATTGGATCAAGTTGGCTTTCTTCGGCTGGTGGATGATCTTTTCAAAGATACCTTTTGTCTTTGCATGCTGGACAATCTCTTCGAGAATCCTGTTCTCAATATATCCAGCCTCTAACAAACTTGATTACCAACTAATGCACAGAATTTGTACGTAGCATATAAAAAATTCTAGATAGGAACTTTAATAAAATTAAACCAGTGCATTTAAATAACTCACAATAATTTACCTAGTGTGACTAAGAGCATTTTACGGGATCATATCTAGGGTATCAATCAATAGTGTAAGTATCCTAAGGGTAAAAGTCGAATTTGAAGATTGTTTAAGAATTAAATTGAATTATGCTGGAAAAATGATAAAAACTAATTTACCATAAGATCACATATTGAAAAAAAAAATTAACTAAAAAAAATGAAATAATATCAAATAAAGAAAGATAAGTTTATATATATATAAGTAAATAAATAGGGATTACATGTACTCAAATAGTAGTTTTAATTTGTATAAATCTAGAGATTAAATAAGAAAGAACAAATCTGTGTACCTGCTTAGATTAGCCAAATCAAACAATAAGAACACAATGCGACCAAATAACTGCAATAAATTGATATCATTCATATTCGAAAAAAAAAGTGATGAAGCTCGAAAAAGTTCATCCATGACAGGTTGAAAGGTAGATAGATACACATGAACATATATATGCATACATGCCTCTTTACACCTGCCCAAATCTTCCTTTGAAAAATGTTGATTCTCTTTTGTGTGAGAGAAAGTGGGAGGGACAGGGGCTAGGACAGTCTAGAACTACTCTTCTCCATTTTTGTCCAAAATTTGACAAAAAAAATTGGGTCCCATGAATGCTGAATCCTCTTTAGGTGTTTTTTGTTTTTGGATTTACTTCAAATTTTATTATTTTTTTAAAGCCCATGAATTCTATAGTTAAACAATAACTGATTTTTTTGTGTGTGTGGGTCAATTATAAATTCAAATTTATATATTCGCTTAATTATATTTTCTTTTATAACTGCAATTTTTTTAATTACTTTTTTTTATATATATAAACCAATAAAGTAAAACCAATTAAATGATACCTACTCAGTATGTATTACTCAAACTAAATACAACATCATACTAAAATACATAAGCAAATGATGTCATCCATTTTCAGGACTGTTGTATATATATATGCATTGAAGGCTGGAAGTCTGGGGTTCTAGTCCTCTGCGTCTTCCCTACGATTTCGGCCTTCATTCGGTCTATAGCCCAGGAGAATATTGGCGCATCTTCGGGCTGGAGCCAAGGTCATACTTGGTTCCAAGTCTAAAAGAGTAAAAAGGTGATTAAACATAAATTCCATCCTTTGCGCCACGGCCATTTGGCTGAGGGTAGCCGTGGAGGGAAGAGGAATCTGCCTCAAAACATCAATAACTGCTGAAGGTTGGTGCCTAAGTATTAGTTCGCCCCTTTCAACTGTCTTTATGTCGAAAGGCGGTTCGAGGGACTGGCCACGGATGCTCACCTGATGCAGGCTGCAACAATTAACCAATATATAGCGGTAAGTGATGGTCAATTTTTTGGGTTGAATAAGATTGATCCCTATTGTTCTATGTGCACATTTACATGAAGTATTACAAAGGTTGTTTAAGTACCAATGATAGTATAAGTTATTCCTTGGGTCTCTTTGCACCATCCCCAAGAGTTCGATCTTCAAAATCCCTCCCACACATAGAACTGGTTCAGGCAATGTAAATGTTTGGTTGAGGAGACTCTGCCCATATGCAATTCATATTAGAGCAAATGTAAGTTATTATTTTCAATCAAAAGTCATTTTTAATTAGGACAAGTGATAGTTCATATATTCTTAGAGTCATTCAACCATACAGATATAAGTTATGGAGACAATGTAATACAAGGTGGAAACTAACCTGTTCCATGGGGAATTGAGGCGATGTATAACCCCAGACAAAGTGGTCATCCTTCATATCCCCCGGCAAGTTAATGTCCTGGTGTGTTTGATATCTTGGCAACGTACGATGCCCCATGCTGAATTGGACTGACATAGCGGAGAATATATATTGTCTATTACCATAATGCCCTGAAAGGGAATGCAAATAGGATAGAAGAACTCAGTTAGGATTCCCAACATAAAATAGGATGAACATAAATGTGTCGAGACAATGGAAATTATACTATACCACGAGAAGGTTGGATTTGAATGTCTGATACTATGCAAACTCCGCCTTTGAGTTTGAAAAGTATGGTATCAGACACATTAGCGTCGGTGTGCCCTTTGCTCGACCAATACATTTGGTTTGGGAGGAGTGCATGAATGATGCTCTTTCCTATATAATGGCTTGTAGAAGAAGTTCCGATGACAAACCCAATGCAATTCTCAGGATTAATCATACTTGCTTTTGACAGAATAGCAAGGAGGCTTGAGTACAGTTTGTGTTCCTTCCGAAGATCATTGAATCTTGGAAGATGGTGCTTCTTCCCCTGGTCCATAATTGCGTCACAGTAGCTTGTATTCTTGAGCATTGGAGCTCTCCTTACACAAGCTGTTTTTGCTATGCTATTTTGAACAACTGCAAAAAACAAAACACAATGTGTGTAAAAATGGATAAGAGTAATTTCCCCAACTAAACATAATGATAAGCTGTGTATATTAGTGTTTACGTATTTCATTCTCATTCTGCTTGAATATAACAAAAAAGAAAATCAACAATAGACTTGAAAGGAAAGATAAAATAAAGAATGAAAACAAAAATTTAGTATATGTGTATCCAACGGTGTTGAATTGCAATTAGGGTGTCTTCTTTTCACAAACTTTACAAAAATTTACTATTCTTCAAAATTCATCTTTTATATATTCTTCTAAAAATTAAATTTATATTCAAAACATTATAGCAATACTATTTATATTATATTGTATAACACTTCTATGTGCATTGCATACCATAGTAGATTGTTCAACAAAGTAACCATATCAAAATGGTTGTGAAGCTTTTACATATTAGAAATGTTATTATATTGTCTATGAAATTAGTAAAGTGCCTATAGGCAATAAATTTTGGATATATCTAAACAATATTAATTTTTATTTTTTCTTTTATACTGTGAAAACTCGCAGCTGCTAAATTTTGGGTGCACTTTGGATAAACTCCCAACCGAACATAATAGCCTAAAACTAAGTCCAACAATAAAATTAGAAGTGTTGAAAGATTACAACGACAATAATAAAAAACAAAAAAAAAAAACAAAAACATCATCGTCCTCATCATCATCACCATCTGTAATTCATTGATTTGAAATTAATAAACTTGTAAAACCCTAAAGGAATGAATTTATTACTTACTCGCTTCCAATGGTTGGGATCGGGCTTTTTCATGACAATGATGGACTTGATTTGGTCTGGCAGCTTGGCTTTCCAGCGACAGTAGAGTTTGGTGCCGTGGTGGAAACTGTAGCTTGTTGGTTTAGGATCGAAATCGACGATTTTACTACTGGTGGGAGATGTACCTGTAACCTCAAATCAGAACAATTGCCTCTTAGTCATCAAATTAGCTAATAAATCTACCCAATGAGTTCGCAAGGAATTATATATATATATATGTTATATATGTGGATTTCAAAGACAAGCACACAACCATTTGGCAGCGTAGTAATCGGATTGTTCACTCCGGTGAAACCTCCAGGCTTTCGATAAGGGTCGTTAGGATTCTGAACATCACAGAGGTGGTTTGAGATCAAAGGCCTCGTGTTTTGAGCCGCCATCAGGAACCACTTCCGTTGCCACTGACATCTCCGCCGCCAACTTTGCCGTGACTGCCGCTGCATCATCACAAGAATCGACAAAATAGATTGTGTAGCATAAAAATTGAGAAAGAAAGCAAATGTTATATCTGTGAAACATGAGGCAATCACATGTGGCCACGTGTCTTCTCACTCAGTAATATTTGGCCATGTGTTTTTTCAGTCAACAATCTATGACAATTAGGGTGATTAGAGTATTAATTAAAGAAAAATTAAAAAGTGCGCGGACAAATTTTTAAAAAATTAATAATATTGGGATACATAATAAAAAGCCAGTTAAATATGAGGATAAAATATAAGATTACCCCTCAAACCAGCTATCTGTCAAAAAAAAAATAAAATTTTAAAACTCATAAAAACCTATATGAACTACAATCCACCATATTTTGTTTCAGCCATGGAAAAAAAATTAAAAAAATTCAGAACTTCTTTCGGAAACAATATAACCCACCACATAAATAATATATTGTGTAAGAAGCATGTATATAGAAAAACAGAAGTATTGCATTATACTTACTACATATTGAGGAGAGGAGTATTTGTGTTGTTAATATACTTAGCCTTTGTGCCCACAAACAAGACGGGACTGGTGCTGTCTTAGCTGCTATCGCCCACAGTCTTCATGCAATAACTATGCTTGTACATCCAAGAAAATATTCAGCGACAGAGGAGGAAGGGAATAGCTTTAGAAAACATTGGTGTTCACTTCTACTTCAAGATAAAAACAAAGAAACAGACAGACCGTCGGGTGTCTGCAGTTAGCTCTAGATGAGAGGCGGTTGCCAGCAAGTTTCTTTGCTTTATCACAAGGATCACTATCCTTCAGCCGCAGCACTTTCCTGGTACACAGATTTCGCAATATCAGACTAACTATCCGTCAAAACACAAAGTTTTAAAATTCATAAGAAACCTATATGAACTACAATCCACCATTTTTTGTTTCTGCCATGGAAAAAATAATATATAGTGCGAGAGAGAGTGAGAGAGGGAACATGTATGAAGAAAAATAGAAGTATTGTACTTGTACTTATTACATATTGAGTAGAGGAGTCCTTATTTTGTTAATGCTGAAACATTGGGATATCATCATTAGGCTTTGTGTCCACAAACAAGATGGACTGCCAGCTGTCTTGGCTGCTCTTGTTTCACAAAATAACTATGCCTGTTCGACAGTCCATCCAAGAAAAAATTCAGAAACAAAAGAGGAAGGGAATAGCTCAAAAAAATTAGTGCTTGCTTCGACTGAAGGATAAGAAACAGATAAAGAGACAAACTATCTGGTGACTGCAGTCAGTTCCCATGAGGATTCTCTGTTTTATCGCAACGATTCAGCTGCAGCATTCATAAGAAAAACAAAATTTTAAAATTCATAAGAAAATAAACTAAAAATAAATTCCAAGCTTCTTTCATATTCTATTTCTTCATGCAAATTGTACTTGTACTTACTAAATATTGAAGAGAGGAGTCCTTGTTTTGTTAATGTTGAAACATTGGGATATCATCCTTAGGCTTTGTGTCAACAAACAAGATGGCTGCTGCTTTCTTGGCTGCTCTCAGTCCACCATCTTTATGAGAATAGCCATGCCTGTCCGACAGTCCATCCAAGAAAATATTCAGCCACGGAGGAGAAAGGGAATAGCTTCAGAAAACATTAGTATTCATTTCTACTTAAAGAAAAGAAACAGCCAAACAGACACACCTTTGGTTGCCAGCAACTTTCCCTGCTTTATTGCAAGAATCACTGTCTTTTCAGCCGCAACACTTTCCTGGTACACAGATTTAACAATATCAAACCAGCCATCCGTCGAAAAGCAAAATTTTAAAACTCATACGAAACCTATATGAACTACAATCCACCATTTTTTGTTTTGGCCGTGGAAAAAAAATAAAAAAAATTCAGAACTTCTTTCGGAAACAATATAACCCACCACATAAATAATATATTGTGTAAGAAGCATGTATATAGAAAAACAGAAGTATTGCATTATACTTACTACATATTGAGGAGAGGAGTATTTGTGTTGTTAATATACTTAGCCTTTGTGCCCACAAACAAGACGGGACTGGTGCTGTCTTGGCTGCTCTCGCCCACAGTCTTCATGAAATAACTTTGCTTGTACATCCAAGAAAATATTCAGCGACAGAGGAGGAAGGGAATAGCTTTAGAAAACATTAGTGTTCACTTCTACTTCAGGATAAAAACAAAGAAACAGACAGACCGTCGGGTGTCTGCAGTTAGCTCTAGATGAGAGGCGGTTGCCAGCAAGTTTCTCTGCTTTATCACAAGGATCACTGTCCTTCAGCCACAGCATTTTCCTAGCACACAGATTTAGCAATATCAGACCAACCATCTGTCAAAACACAAAATTTTAAAATTCATAACAAACCTATATGAACTACAATCCACCATTTTTTGTTTCTGCCATGGAAAAAGTAATATATAGTGCGAGAGAGAGTGAGAGAGGGAGCATGTATGAAGAAAAATAGAAGTATTCTACTTGTACTTACTACATATTGAGGAGAGGAGTCCTTGTTTTGTTAATGTTGAAACATTGGGATATCATCATTAGGCTTTGTGTCCACAAACAAGTGGACTGCCAGCTGTTTTGGCTGCTCTTGTTTCACGAAATAACTATGCCTGTTCGACAGTCCATCCAAGAAAATATTCAGAGACAAAAGAGGAAGGGAATAGCACAAAAAAATTAGTGTTTGCTATGACTGAAGGATAAAAACAGATAAAGAGACAAACTATCGGGTGCCTGCAGTCAGTTCCCATGATGATTCTCTGATTTATCGCAACGATTCAGCTGCAGCATTCATAAGAAAAACAAAATTTTAAAATTCATAAGAAAATAAAGAAAAAATAAATTCCAAGCTTCTTTCACATTCTATTTCTTCCAGAAAATTAACCAAAAAATTCACAAGCAAAAATGAATCTATCAACTCAATTTGTTTCTTCAAAAACAATTTTACTCAAGACGTACCTTACTACTTCCGGGAGCATACTCAACCTCTGAGGCCTAAGGATTGGATCAAGTCTGAGGTTTTTGGCTGGTGGATGATCTTTTCAAACATGTCTTTTGTCATTCCGTGCTTGACCATCGCCTCAAGAATCTTGTCCTCAATCTCCGCCATCGGCTGCTTTGAGATATCTTGCTCATTTGAAGAAGAACAAAACACTAATTCAGATAGCCGCTCTTTCTCAGCTTGCCGGCAATATTTGTCCGCCTCAGTCGTGCCAGCAGTCATAAGATGGTAGGTATGGACAAACTTGTTTTGCCCAATCCTATAAGCTCGACAGATTGCCTGCTGCTGGACAGAAGGATTCCAGAGAACGTCCAGCAGAATGACCCTGGAAGCCCCAACCAGACTAATGCCCTCCGAGCAGCACTTCGTCGACGCCAGCATGATCATGGAATCATTTTCTGGATCGTTGAATGCGTTGATCACATTCTGCCGTTGCTTCTTCTCTAGCTTTCCTTCCAGCCTCAGAATTTCCTTCCCGGCATTCCACTGGAAGGTCGCGGTCAGATGCTCTTCGATCAGGTCCAAGGGCGGAAGGTACTGGCTGAAGATGAGCACTTTTTCCTTCAGCGTCATACTAAGGCGGACAAACTCGACGATGAATTTTGTTTTGACTCCTTCGCTGGGATTGAGCTTGGATGCCTCGGCTGCTTGCATATCGATTCCATCAGTTGGCACTTGCGACTTGCATCGTTGGATAAGGTAGGGATGAACAGATACCAAAGAAAAAACAAAATCTGTACTCTTAATTGTTTTCCTTAATCGTTCCCCTTCCAACAAGTCGATCAGATTCTTCTGCAATCCAGTCGATTTCAAGAGGACCACACAGTCTCTTAATCCGGGAAGACTCTTTTGCAGGATAGAGCCTTTGTGCACATGCACAAATGGCGCCATTGAGACTTTAAGCCTCTCCACTGCACGGTTGATGGATTCCGGAAGCAAAGCAGGCCTAGATCTCCGGCGGTTCCTATCTGAATGCAGAATCTCAGAGAATGTCGGGTCCTGCATAGCTGCTTCTGCCACCGTAGGCCTTACGATCTTCAGTGAGTTAAACAGCTCTCTAAAGTTGTTCTGGAAGAGCGTCCCAGACAATATAACACGCTTTTCAGTCTTGAGCTGAACCAGTGAAGTCCAAATTTTACTCCGGCGGTTGCGGGGAGTATGGCCTTCATCAAGAATCACCAGTCCAGGCATCTCAAGAAGTATCGACCTCAGAACTTCGAAGTTCTTTTCAACACCCGACCTCTGCCCCTCTTTGCCTGCATCTGCTTCCTCGTTTTTCTGCGCCGTCAGCTTCTCAAACAGACTGTAGCTAATCCCCAAAAGGCCTCCCCCTCTCTTCCATGAATATATCTTTACCATCCGGATTGCCTCCATGTCCCTGCATCTGATACTCGTTCCTTGAAAGAGATGATCAGCAGCCGCCATCTCGTCACCGATAATTGTCAGATTGTTCAGGTTGTGGAAATTAAACCCGGAATTCCACTTCCTGAACTCCCCTTCCCAGTTCTGAAGCAATCCAGCCGGGGCGATGATCATCGGCAGACAGTTTGGATACATCTTTAGGTATGTCTCGAGGAATACGATCATGAGACGTGTCTTTCCTGTCCCTGGGGCATGAGAAATGATGCATCCGCCCACTCCAGCTAGATTTGAGTTCTTTAAATCAGCAATATCGGTACTGCCTGCCAAGTTCCTCCAGAGGAACTCAAATCCTTCTTGCTGGTGTTCGTACATACTTTCACGCACACCAGGCTTGATGCTCCACACTGAGCCGCTAGTCCAGCTGCTTATCTCCGCTGCATCAGCTTCTGGGAGATTAACGGCGCTAAGATCCAGAGCCTTCCCTTTCTCCTGCTTCTTCTTTCCGGAAGCATTACGACCTTTGATCGCCTGCGAAAGGAAGAAGAAGAAGTGGTATAAATAAGGGTAGCCGCACAAATTTTAAATCAACCTAAGATTGCACTGACCTACATTCAGATAACAGATTAATATAGAATTAGGGAGGATGGATAAATTAAAAGGAACAATTTTGATGTTCCCAATAGTTGGATGGTTTTCTGATTTCAGTTATTTAAAGAAGAAATTGATATATACTTACCCACGGAGGAATTACATCCTTCGGTTGAATCGCCACATGCTGACAGCAGATACAAAACCATCCTCGATCATCTTCTAATACCAGTTCATGTAGCCCTCGAGCACATCTGCGCTCCTGACTCTCTTCCTCCTCCTCATCGTCTACTCCAACAACCTGCAGGCCATGAATTGATCATTAATTATCATATCGCATTCTGAATAATTATAATAAAAGTGCCGATTTAGTTCTCAATCCATGTCAAATCAGTTCATGTCTATTCTACACAAGTGCTGGAAGTGATTTACTTACCTCACGGCGGGCAGTCGTTCCAATTTCCTCAACAGCACAGCTAAAGTTGAACTCTTCAAACAAGTCGTCCAACTCCTTTTCCCACTCAGCTGGCCTCTGTTCCTTTTCTGTTAGCGGGGCGACATCTTCCTCAAACCGAAACTTCTTTGGAAGAGGTGGGTAGTCTTCAGCTCCATCTGCCGCTCCACTCCCTTCACCGGCATGCATTGTTCGAGACGGTTGTCCGAGAATAGATTCCTTTAGGATCTTGGAGATATCAAATCTTTTTGGCTTAAGCTTCTTCGCTTTAGCCCCCGTCATAAACTTTGTCATCTCCTTAAGCCAATACGGCATATCCTCTCCATCACCGCCACTTTTGCAAACCCGTGTAGCTTTCGGGGGCTGGGCAGAGTCTGAGACTAGGTGCTCCCCTTCCTTGACTGTTCTTCGGTCATCATCGTTGCCACCCTCGCTCTCCAATCTCTGTTCTTTGCCCTCACAGATTCCCGAGATCCTCCTCTGCTTTGTCTTCCTCTCAGGAGCGTTCACCGCTACCTTTCTTTTTGGCATTCGATTGCAGCGCTGCCCTGAAGCCTTTGCTGGCATGCTGTCCTTTGCAGTTTCAGTTCCTTTCTGATTCTTCATTTTTTGCCTCCTCGTCAGAGTGAAGTCTTCATCATCCATGGAGCTCCGAATTTCATCGCCAGACAAGTCGCTCAACTCATACGACTGGCATTTATTGGTCCTACTCAGAGATCGAATACGACCTGCAATGCCAGCACAGTTGTCACTCGCTATCCGAATACCATCATCGGCATTTCCTCGGCAGACAGTATCCTGCAAATCCCCATTAGAATCGGCAACTTCTTCGTTCTTTTCTGCGGGAGCGATCAACCGTGAGGGGGTGTCGGCACTGTCCCCATTGGAATGGCCCTCTAGTTCAGGGACTGTCAATTCAAGGCCAAACAATCGAGCATAAATATCTGCTCGACTCCTCAGATGCTCCATAGAGGACAGGTCATGGTTCCCATTGGTGTGGCCGTCTAGTTCAGGGCCGAATAATTGAGCATAAATATTTGCTCTATTCCTCGGATGATCCGTAGGGGACAGGTCATGGCTCCCGTCGGTGCACCCTTCAGTTTGAGCTTTTTGAAGCTCTTCATCAACCTGCAGACCATGAAAGTTCAATTTCAGTATCGAATGAAAGATTAGGATTGCATATTTAGTGAAGATATTATTCATAAAGGCATTCAATATCTAATTATGGGAACTAATTGAAACATTGAACTTATTTTTTGAACTTTCTTAATCTATTGGCACCTTATCGTCAAAAGAAACTCGTCTGTCGACACGTCTTTGTACTCTTATCTCTGGAGTGATCTCCGACGGAGGAACTCCGTCAATTCTCAATGACCGAGCCGTTTCCCCATCTCTCATCACAATGGCTCCATCATCCATCCTCGTCATTGACGGAGATGGCAATTCCTTTCTCTTATTCATTGATTTATGATTCTGCAACATAACAATAACAATGAGGTATAGATGGTTAAACATAATAAAATGATTCAAAAAAATAAATATATAAATAAATTGAAAAGAAAAATACCAACCATCTTACTACAAGTCATACATGTCACTATGATTCATAGTTACAAGATAAGCCAAAATATAACGATACATAATAAAAATTCACCCTAAACCCATCACAAAGAAAATGCTTCATTAACACTATATTAAGAAATTGAATTTATAAATAATTATAAAATATAAATAGGCCTTGTGTTCATCTATCTAATATGCAAGTAGTTTGCCATGTTTAACAAAATTTATAAGTATATTAAATCAATATGCAAATACCAACAGCCCATCCTCTTTCCATATAAGCAAGTTTTCTCTGGAAATATAGAAACAATGTTTGGAGACAATAGAGTATTAATAAATTTCATGCATAATAATGGAAAAATTTTCAAAATCATTTATGTCTTTCAATTCAATATTAAGGTTTTTTTTCCCTTGTCTAATTTTCAGTATTTCATACTATGTGTTTTTTATTATATTCTTACATACATGACATTTATGTGAAAATTTAAGATAAAGAAAGAGAATACCAGGTTACACTTTATCAAATAATAAAATACCATCAACATATGTAGTATTTGATCAAACATTTGTTGGAACACTGAGTAGGTGTTGAAAAAGAAAACATGATATGAAAGTTAAGTCAATCATAACTCCAACTTACATAATAAAAATCTACTCAATGCATAGGTTTAAGATCAAGGAGGTACTTATGTAGCTGGAAGTTATATTCTGAAGAATAAAAAAAATTTCTAGAGTGAAATTAACAACAATGAAAAAAAAAAAAAAATAAATAAATAAACTTGACAACAAGCTACTTGACAAAAAAGATCCAATGTGGCATATCAATATATGATTCGATTTTATAGAAACTTTATTAAAAGTAAAGGAGTGCATTTAAATAACAAACAATAATAGACCACGTGCGACTAAAAGAGACGTTGCGATTATGTCCGGGGGATCAATAGTTATGTTGGTTGAAGGGTACAAACTAGTTTGCCAAAAGATCACATATTGAAAAATAATAATAATAAAATAAAATAATTTGCTATATAAGTATTAATGAAAGATAATAATTAAGACAGCAACATTGACAGAAATATAAGAACATTGAAAAGAAAGAGAAATTAATATATTAAGTAAAGGAAGATGATCTTTTTTTTTCAAAAAAAAATAAAAATACATAAGCATTTCATTGTAACCCTAGTTTCAATTGTGGAAATCTAAGAGATTAAAGAAAGAAGATTAGATTTGTATACCTCCTTAGATTACCAAATGAAACAAGAAGAGCACGATGGATGGCGACCAAATATCTGCAAGAAATTGAGTTAGAAAACAAAGATATCATTCATTCAAATTCAGAAAAAAGTAGACGAAGCTCGAACAAGTACATCCATGACCACTTGAAAGGGAGATAGATACACATGAACATATACATACCTCTTTACTCCTGCTGCAAACTTTCCTTTGACAAATTGTTGATTTGAAGGAGGACTCCTGAAAGGTTCTTCGATGAGAACGAGAGAGGGGCTAAGACGAAGACAGTGTTTCGAATTTTGTCCAAAATATGACCAAAAAACGAAATTAGGTCGTATCAATTGAAATTGGTGGGGTTTTGATTTGGAGATCAAATATTTTGGGGGTGAAAGAAGTGTTCGTAGAGGAAGGTAAGGGTTAAGAATGGCTTTCTGTTTTCGCCTGCGGAGGAAGCTAAGGATGTTCGGGTTCAGGTTCAAGTTCCTCTTCGATATCACCTATGTTTGATGGTCCTTGTCGATGAAATTTGCGTTTTTGTTTGCTTTTTCCGATCGCATGTGCCTTTGATTTGCGGACAGTAGGATTAGCAAGCCAAAGTCGATGTAGTCAAATGAAAGAGGTATGTGATGATTAGGGAAGATATTAGACACGGAAACTTCTCCAGGTGTTTTTGGTTTTGAGTTTTTTATAATTTAATTATTGTTAAAAGCCGATGAATTTTATACAGTTATATAACTTTGTTTTTATTTTTTATTTTTTATTTTTATTTTTTTGTGTGTGTGGTTGGGTCGATCTTTGTTGGCCAAGTTCAGTATCAAACCTATATAAGGGAGATTCCATTCCAAAAAGCTATTAATCACAAAACCTATCATCAGATTTACTATTGCCAGATTTTTAATGATTAAAACATCAACAAGCACCAAGTTAGACCTACTATCTTAACACCAGTAAAGTACCTACCTAATCGAGTATAAACCACATTAGGTTCAGTTTCTTTTATCCTGTTGTTACTCTAATAACTCCTTTGTTGAGTAAGGTTTTTAAAGACCATATAGGTTTTTTTTTTATAATCTTCACAATATAAGGTATGAAAAATCTTGACCTTAGAGAAGTCACATGAATTTCCCTCTCAAGAGATCAATTCAACTTTTCCCATCACACACTATGTGACACACGGAAGTTGGTTTTCTCATTGTGTTTGTGTGAATTAAGGTCATTATTGCGCTTGCAACATTGGAGATGCTTTATATATATATATATATATATTCACAATGCAATAATGTTATTTGGCTTCAAATTAAGCCCAATCAAGTTGAAAGATTACACCTAATGCTAGGTTAACCTATAAAAGGAAGAAAAAAATATTGAGGCAACGAGACACATGGAAGCAAATCAACAAGGGTGTAAAGATGCAGAGATGTGGTAGCTGCCTACTATAGTTTGTTGTTGTCAGGCTAACATCGACGTGCAAAATAATTCTGATTGCATATTGTTGCCATTGCAGAATTTGTTTGGCTCTTGTCAAATCTGTTTGTTTATTTCTATTTTCGTGTCTCTTAATTGCTGATTGCAGTAGCACACACAGGGAATAAAATTATGGGATGTTGCATGTTTCTATTTCTTTCTAGATTTGTTTGATGGGTTTGTTGCTAGTCGCAAATCATGTTCTATCTCGTTCCTTCTAGATTTGTTTATTCTTGTTATAGTATTCTTAATTATTTTGTGACTATTGGGTTGATCATTAATTTTTAGTTATATTTCATATTTAAGACAATTGGATTGTTGGTCAACTTGGTTAGTTGTTCATTTATTTCTTAAGAACATACTATATTTAGAATATCCCTTTGATTAGTGGAACTTTTAATACTTGTGAATGTATTGTTTTATGCCAAACCCCTTAAGTCATGTCTCTATAATCTTGTAATTTACTTTTAGATTAAAGATAAGATCATCATAAATTGGTTTAGAGCTAGCCATTTTTTCTAGCTTGTCTTCATTCGCAGTTATTTCGTTTGGGCTGATTATGACTGTTTTTAGGGAGTTAAATGCAACAAGAATGATTTTTGATCATGGTGAATTAAATGCATCACATAATTTACTTCTTTAGATATCTAAGGGTTAGCTTAGGTTCCACTATTCATCATATTTGGTCTGGCCAGCAAAATACTTTTTTCATCATGCAAAACAATGAGTTTGACTCATTTTGTTTTTGTGTTACTGTACGAATCTCGTCTAGATTCGACCACAAGGAGAAAAAAAATGAAATAAATTAATAAAGAGTGGCAAGACTTTGCAATAGTTATTCATATTAAAGTAATGGTAGGATCTTCGAAATAGTAATGTTGTCATGACTATTTCGGTTATTTTCCATAAAAAAAAATATATAGTGAGTTAGTCACCTTTTTTAGTTAGTATTAATTTTTATTTCCTTTCTACTGTTATGTCATCATTCTAGTTCTTTAGTTTTTTTAGTTTTAATTTATCTAGTTTTTTATGCATCTAAGAAGATTTTGATCATGACTAGCAATTCGTTCTTTTTTTCCCTTTTTCTATTAATTGATCCCCTATACATCATCGAGTGTCTGCTTTGAGTTACATTTGGTTCTGCATTGCGAGTTATGAAAATGAACAAACATATTGCTTTTGAAGCTCCAATCCTATGGACTCAATAAGACACTTGATCATTTATATGGTACATGTGATCTTCCCATCTAGTAGTTGGCAATCATATATATATTTTTTGATCTTCCCTTCTAGTAGTTGGCAATCATATATATATTTTTATTTTTTTTATTAATGTTGTGATAAATTATGGAGGAAAATAATGTGATTGTCTTATAGACTCAAATCTAAGTAATCTAATTTATGAATAAGATCAAATTTAGAATAGTCTTTTCGATGATTGTCCAATAATTAACCAAACAAGAAATTGGGTCATAGCAATGCGGATTCTTCCTCAAGTGATCTTTTGTTTTTGGGTTTATTGATAATTTTATTATTTTTGAAAGCCCATGATTTTATACAGGTAAAAAGACATTGTGTTTATTTTTTTATGTGTGTGCTTGGGCCAATATTTTTTTTACCAAAAAAGAAATATTATTTAAAATATTTGTTGTAAAAAAACTATTATGGAACTTGGCAGAAAATAAAATAATTTATAGATTTTACAATCAGTTTTTCCTTGATTAATAATAAAAAAAAAATATCCTTGAGATTGATTTATTCTATTTTTAGCAAATCTACTCCAAAAAATGATGATCACAGACAGCCCTTACTGAAACCATTTGCAAGGAAATGGGGAGTGTTCGGAAATTATAAATAAAGCCACATCATTGCTTCAAAGATTTAATTTCAGAATAAGAAAATGTTATTTTTTCATTTTCCAAACACCTCCTTTCTTCATAATAGTTTATAGAAGAAGCTTCACTGACGTACTCAATGCACTCCTTTGGATTCATGATTTCTTTTGACTGAATATCAAGTAGGCCTTAGTACATTGTGTGTTCCTAAAAGTGATGGGGCTTCTGGTCACTATGCACTCGCTCATAACATCGACTAGGATTGCTTCGAAGGTGCCTTTTCTGGTCAATATTTCATAAAGGGAGGACATATGGTGAAACAAGGAAGCTTTGAGCACAGAAAACCATTATGAAATTGCATCCAGACCCAAGATATATGTATTTAGTTGCACTCGATTACAACTCGAAACTATATGCAGTGTATTCAACAATATATAAGTCAATCACGACATTATATCATTAGTTGTGAAACTTTCTATTGTCCATGAAAATTGGTAAAATACCGATAATCTATAACTACTTGTGGTTATATATAAAATTGTTTACAAACTTCCAGTCATAGTTATAAATGATCACTATTCAAAATCTTACAAGAATATTCTTACAGTTCTAATATACGTATAATCTATCCAATCACAAACGTTAATTAGTGCAAACCTAGAGCAATCTTGAATGAAGAATTGTCAGAAGAAATGAAAATTTCTGAAATTATCATACAGCTATACAATCTTGTGTATATGTATGCAATATAGTAATCTCAAACTAACAATTCGTCGGAAAATAATAAATATTCATGAGAAATCTATATGAACTATAATCCACCATATTCTATTTTTTTCTTGGAATAAAAAATAAAAAACTCCAAACTTCTTTAGGAAACTATACAACCATTGACATTTTGTTTCTTCTAACAAATCAACCAAACAAATCACAAATAAAAATGAGTCAATCAACTCAATGTGTTTTTTCCAGTTCATTCAAGATGTACCTTAATATTTTCAGGAATATTCTCAGCCTTTGATGCCTAATGATTGGATCAAGTTGGCTTTCTTCGGCTGGTGGATGATCTTTTCAAATATACCTTTTGTCTTTGCACTGGATGATCTGTTCAGGAATATATATCTTGCCTCTAACAAACTTGATTACCAACTAATAGACAGAATTCGTATGTAGTATATAAAAGATTCTATTAGATAGGAACTTTAATAAAATTAAATGCGTGTATTTAAATAACTCACAATAATTTACCAAGTGCGACTAAGAGCATTTTACGGGATCATATCTAGAGTATCAATCAATAGTGTAAGTATCCTAAGGGTAAAAATCGAATTTGAAGATTGTTTTAGAATTAAATTCAATTATGCTGGAAAAATGATAAAAACTAATTTACCATAAGATCACATATTGAAAAAAAATTAACAAAAAAAAAGGAAATAATATCAAATAAAGAAAGATAAGTTATATATATATATATAAGTAAATAAATAAGTATTACATCTACTCAAATACTAGTTTTAATTTGTATAAATCTAGAGATTAAATAAAAAAGAACAAATCTGTGTACCTGCTTAGATTAGCCAAATCAAACAATAAGAACACAATGCGACCAACTGCAATAAATTGATATTTTTCATATTCGAAAAAAAAAAAAAAAAAAAAAAAAAAAAAGTGATCAAGCTCGAAAAAGTTCATCCATGACAGGTTGAAAGATAGATAGATACACATGAACATATACATGCATACATACCTCTTTACACCTGCAGCAAATCTTCCTTTGAAAATTGTTGATTTGAACGAAGCTCTTTTGTGTGAGGAGAAAGTGGGAGGGACAGGTGCTAGGACAGTCTAGAACTACTCTTCTCCATTTTTGTCCAAAACTTGACAAAAAAAAAAAAAAAAATTGGGTCGCATCAATGCTGAATCCTCTCTAGGTGTTTTTTGTTTTCGGATTTACTTCAAATTTTATTGTTTTTTTAAAGCCCATGAATTTAGTTAAACAATAACTGATTTTTTTTGTGTGTGTGCATAGGTCAATTATAAATTCAAATTTATATATTTGCATGATTACATTTTCTTTTATAACTGCAATTTTTTTAATTACTTTTTTTTATATATATAAACCAATAAAGTAAGACCAATTAATTACTCAAACTAAATACAACATCATACTAAAATACATAAGCAAATGATGTCATCCATCTTCAGGACTGTTGTATATATATATGCTTTGAAGCCTGGTAGTCTGGGGTTCTAGTCCTCTGCGTCTTCCCTACGATTTCGGCCTTCATTCGGTCTATAGCCCAGGAGAATATTGGCGCATCTTCGGGCTGGAGCCAAGGTCATACTTGGGTCCAAGTCTAAAAGAGGAAAAAGGTGATTAAACATAAATTCCATCGTTTGCGCCACGGCCATTTGGCTGAGGATAGCCGTGGAGGGAAGAGGAATCTGCCTCAAAACATCAATAACTGCTGAAGGTTGGTGCCTAAGTATTAGTTCGCCCCTTTCAACTGTCTTTATGTCGAAAGCTGGTTCGAGGGACTGGCCACGGATGCTCACCTGATGCAGGCTGCAACAATTAACCAATATATAGCGGTAAGTGATGGTCAATTTTTTGGGTTGAATAAGATTGATCCCTATTGTTCTATGTGCGCATTTACATGAAGTATTACAAAGGTAAAGGTTGTTTAAGTACCAATGATAGTATAAGTTATTCCTTGGGTCTCTTTGCACCATCCCCAAGAGTTCGATCTTCAGAAACCCTCCCACACATAGAACTGGTTCAGGCAATGTAAATGTTTGGTTGAGGAGACTCTGCCCATATGCAATTCATATTAGAGCAAATGTAAGTTATTGTTTTCAATCAAAATTCATTTGTAATTAGGACAAGTGATAGTTCATATATTCTTACATTCATTCAACCATACAGATATAAGTTATGGAGACAATGTAATACAAGGTAGAAACTAACCTGTTCCATGGGGAATTGAGGCGATGTATAACCCCAGACAAAGTGGTCATCCTTTATATCCCCCGGCAAGTTAATGTCCTGGTGTGTTTGATATCTTGGCAACGTACTATGCCCCATGCTGAATTGGACTGACATAGCGGAGAATATATATTGTCTATTACCATAATGCCCTGAAAGGGAATGCAAATAGGATAGAAAAACTCAGTTAGGATTCCCAACATAAAATAGGATGAACATAAATGTGTCGAGACAATGGAAATTATACTATACCACGAGAAGGTTGGATTTGAATGTCTGATACTATGCAAACTCCGCCTTTGAGTTTGAAAAGTATGGTCTCAGACACATTAGCGTCGGTGTGCCCTTTGCTCGACCAATTCATTTGGTTTGGGAGGAGTGCATGAATGATGCTCTTTCCTATATAATGGCTTGTAGAAGAAGCTCCGATGACAAACCCAATGCAATTCTTTGGATTAATCATACTTGCTTTTGACAGAATAGCAAGGAGGCTTGAGTACAGTTTGTGTTCCTTCCGAAGATCATTGAATCTTGGAAGATGGTGCTTCTTCCCCTGGTCCATAATTGCATCACAGTAGCTTGTATTCTTGAGCATAGGAGCTCTCCTTACACAAGCTGTTTTTGCAATGCCATTTTGAACAACTGCAAAAACAAAACACAATGTGTGTAAAAATGGATAAGAGTAATTTCCCTAACTAAACATAATGATAAGCTGTGTATATTAGTATTTACATATTTCATTCTCATTCTGCTTGAATATAATAAATAAATAAATAAATCAACAATAGACTTGAAAGGAAAGATAAAATAAAGAATGAAAACAAAAAATTATTATATATGCATCTAACGGCGTTGAATTGCAATTAGGGTGTGTTCTTTTGACAAACTTTACAAAAATTTACTATTCCTCAAAATTAATCTTTTATATATTCTTCTAAAAATCAAATTTTTATTCAAAACATTATAACAATACTATTTATATTACATCGTATTATTATTTAGCTAAATTTATAAATATTCAAATCCTAAACCAAAATCCAAAATCCCTGGCAAACACACTTCTATGTGCATTGCATACCATAGTAGATTGTTCAACAAAGTAACCCTATCAAATGGTTGTGAAGCTTTTACATATTAGAAATGTTATTATATTGTCTATAAAGTGCCTATAGGCAATAAATTTTGGATATATCTAAACAATATTAATTTTTATTTTTTCTTTTATATTGTGAAAAGCCGCAGCCGCTACCTTTCGGGTGCACTTTGGGTAAATCCCAAACCGAACATAATAGCTTACAAAATAGGCTCGACAAGGCAAGTCACACTAGGTGAACCATGTGTGGTAGGAAAAACCTAGAGGCGTCGAGGTTTGATAAACAATAGTAATTTTATATATCGTTTATTTGAGTATTCGTGACGACCATGCTTGATTTTTTTTTTTAGTAATTTTTTTATTATATTCTTAATCATGTAATATTCATGTCAAGATTTAATAATCACGTGATAATCGAATTGGAATGCTTCAAATCATAATATATTACCAAACATATGTCATAGAAACGTTGAGTGAGTGTTGATAAAAAATAAAAAAATAATTAAAAAAAAATAATGTAAAGGTTAAGTTGTTTATCACAAAATTAAGTGCTTAGTTGATGAAATCGATAAAAAAGACTTGATCGCCAGCTACCAGATAAGAAGATCATATGTAACATATAATTATCAAGTGTGTTTGTTGAGTCTATTAGATAGGAATTTCAATAACAAGGAATGTGTGCATTTAAATTACTTACCAAAATGGTACCAAGTACGACTCACGGCTAACATTCGCATCATGTCAACAGGATCAATCAACAGCGTAAGGATCGTAATAATGATCTCCATTGGTAGATAATTTAGAAAGTCTGCCATTGTAATATTATATTCACTGTAAAGGTAGTCGGCGTCAAAATCTTGTAAGATAGATTGAAATGATTATTGGATAATTTGAAACTAAAAATTCTAAGAAATAAATAGCATGACAGGATGACATATAAGTAAAAGAGATAAAAAAATTAAAAAAAATTAAAAAAAACACTGACAAATGACTGTCATTCAGACAATAATGAACAATAAGTGTAAATAGATGTTAGATATTTAAAAGAATGGCCAAATTTTATACCACAAAGGACTTTTTTTAAGAAATAATATGAAATAGAGGAGAAGGAGTTTTCGTTTAAAAAAATAAAACAGAAAAAGAAAAAAATATGTCATCTACCAAACCCTAATTTTAGTTTGTGAAATCTAGAAATTAAATAAACTGTGCCAGATTTGCTTAGATTAAATAAATCAAACAAATAAATCAAACATGAAGAAACAAGGGCGAAATCTGCAACAAATTAAGCTAAAAATGAAATATGTTAATCATTAATTCGGATTTAGAGAAATGAAGACGAAGCTCCATAAAAGTTCCACCATAACAACTTGGAAGGTAAATAGATACGAAAAAACATATAAATACATACCTTACGCCTGCTGAAGGAAGAGGAGAGGGAGAGGGAGAGTGAGAGTTCCGACAGTCAGAATCGAGAGGCTGCGATGTGGAGATTTGAAGAGAGAGGGAGCGAGCGAGAGAGATTAGTTGACCGAAAGAGAAAATTAGGGCTTTGGATTGTAACGGTATGAGAAATATTAATTCTTTTGTGTGTTTTCTATTTTGGGTTTATTTATAATTATATTTAAAGCCCATTAACATTATTAATCAAATATTGAGATTGAGATATTGATGATGTTTTGCTTTAATTTTTTAAAAAAACAAAACATAAACAAAAAAAAAAAACAAAAACTAAAACTAAAACTTAAAAAATGTATTGTTTATCATGTGTTGTATATTTCTTTCTAAATTAAGAATAAGAAGACAAGAAAAGAAAACCATTGTTTTGCTTCCGCAATTTAGAGGTCTCTATTGTTTTTGTTCTTTATTAAATTTATTTTCCATTGTGTATTATAATCGAATTAAAATTTGATGAAATATTAAAAATCAGTTTACTAGGAAAGGAAGAAAGACTCAAAATTGTAGTAAAAGTTATTTACCGAAAATAGTATGAGCTGTTCATTGAGTTTCTTTGCAATAGTGAGAAACCCTCCAATGCATAGAATTGGTCCACGGCAGCGAAGTTTTGCAAATTGTAGCCCTGTACATATGCAATTGATATCATAGCAAAAGCAAATTATGTCTCAATGAAAATTAATAAAGAATTGGGACAATGGATGTAATACCGATGGACACAATCTTTTTAAAAGAAACAAAATTGACCTGTTGGATGGGCAACCGTTACAACGGTGTTTGATACTTTTGATGGAATAAAATTATGTCGCCAATTAGGGACAAAAATATATTCCGTCTCCAATTAGTAACGGAATTTGAGATGGAACAAAATGACGTCACAAATCTAAATTCCGAGGTGCTCCAGGTGATGGCGGCAGCTTCTCGGTGGGGGACGGGGATAGCTACTGGATATATTTTCTTCCTTCAGCGATTATTTTTCTTTAAGTTTGGCAACATCTAAAAGTGATAGATGTATGCGAAACTATAAGTACGAACATTGTTGGAAAATAATAGAATTGTGGAATATTATTAAGAGGTCAACTCCTAGTCTAGTTTAAGGGGAAATATGAAACCACAATGGATTTGCACGAGTATGAACTGAGCTATTGTTCCATGGTTATGATGAGTGAGTGCGTCTAATATATTATTCACCTATCGCTGGTCAAGTGCGGAATTAAAAAACTACACAGAGTTTGTTGGCCAAGTTCCGTATCAAACCTATATACCATTCAAAAAAATATTAACCACAAAACCTATCATCAGATTTACTAGCTATTGCCATGTTTTAAAAACATCAACAAACACCAAGTTACAACCACTCTCTTCTACCTCCTTTCTTGCAACACATTGCATAGGAAGTTGATCCTCATACCGCTGTAATGACACCAGTAAAGTATCTACTAGTCGAGTGTAGGCGACATTAGGTTCAGTTTCTCTCATCCGGTTGGAACTCTAATATCTCATTTGTTGAGTAAGGTTTCTAAAGACCATAAGTTTTTTTTATAATCTTCACAATAGAAAGTATGGAAAATCTTGACCTCAAAGAAGTCACATGAATTTCCGTCTCAAGAAATCAACTCACCTTTTTGCACTACAAACTATGTGACATACAGAGGTTGGTTTTCTTATTGTGTTTGACTGGATTAAGGTTATTAATCACAATGTCTTTTTAACTGTATAAAATCATGGGCTTTCAAAAACAATAAAATTATCAATAAACCCAAAAACAAAAGAACACTTGAAGAAGAATCCGCATTGCTACGACCCAATTTCTTGTTTGGTTAATTATTGGACAATCATCGAAAAGACTATTCTAGATTTCTTCCCTCTCACTCTCTAGCTCTGACAGAGAGAACACCTTTCAGGAGAAGTCGTTCAACTCGAAAGTTTGCCGAAGGAAGGTTTGCAGCAAGTGTAGACAGGTATGTATGTATGTATATGTTCATCTGTATCCACCTTTCATTTTAGAAATTTTTTTGTTAAAAAAATCCAACTTTTAGCAACATAATTATCTCATTGATGTTATATAATCCTATGCATTAAGTAGATAATTATTGTGAAGGTTATAGTTATGACGACTTATGTTTCATATCTTGTTTTCTTTTTCCAACGCCTACTTAATGTTTCGACAATTGTTTGATCGAATATTACACATTTTGGAAGTATTTTATTATTTTATGGACTATAAACATTTTTTTATGTCAAATTTTGATAAAGTGTAAAGGTTCAATTATCACATACTCATTAGATTTTCTCATTCCAGATGCATAAGTAACCCAAATTCTATTGTGCATGAAAAATAGCAAAATATCTACAAACTATACATTCTGGTTACTTTTATCATGTTATATACTTGATTATTATTTTTATTATTCCATTTATATCTGGTCTTTTTTTTTATTTTTTTCATTTTTTTTGATCTAAAATTCTTAAATAATGTGATGTTCATGTTAAGTGTTACGATGAAAGAATCCTTACTTACAAAACCCAAAAACTGTGGTTTTGCAAAATTAAAATGTGACAATCAATATAAAGAACTATTGATATCCTACTAATGAAATATTCATAGTACACAATAATATAAAATTATATCATATTTATGTACTATTTGATCAAAACAATTAAGGACACATTTTGTAATTAAGGTTTTAAAAATGATAAAAAAAATATTAGGACTTAAGTCCGTCAAATGTTCAGACCTAAATCATGACATATCTTGTAAAAAGCTAAGTACATAAATTAACCAAAAACATATTCCAAGAAATCAAGTGAAAAACTAAATATAACAAATTGAAAAATAAAGCATAAATCAATGCAAAAACAAAGCCAAAATTTTCTCAAATGTAATGCATACTCTTTATCCCACTATAACAAGGTGAACAAGACCTAAAAAATGAGACCCGAATATATGTATACTACGGCACTTAAACCCTAAAATCTTCACACAAAACCGATGACACCAAGCTCACCAATGTGAACTCTCAGTTTACACACCTTTCACTTGTCAATAGGCTCACCACACTCGGAAATACACAGTGGAACACTTGTTTGACAACATAGGCAATTGAAACATCACCGAAAAGTACCTAAACCACTCAGGATGGAACATGATGGATAGAGAGATTGAACACACCTAAACCTAAAATGAACGGCTCTGATCGCCTCGCTAGAGGGCGATAGGCTGCGGGATGGACCATTGCAATGGGCTGAAATTGTGGGCATCAATAGAAAGATCTCCATTGCCCTACATATCGAGCAATGGTGAAAAACCTAACAATCTTTATATAATGGTAAAACCATTAGATTCTTAAAAAATTCATCTAGATTTTGTATCCACTTTGAGAAAGGCTTTTTAAGCACAAAGAGGTCAACAAAAAGGAAACTGCTGAAAGCAAATATTTACTTGACCACATTAATCAAAAAAAAATAAAAATATTTAAATGATTGCCAACTAGTAGATGGGAAGATCACATGTACCATATAAATGATCAAAGTGTCTTATTGAGTCCATAGGATTGGAGCTTCAAAAGCAATATGTTTGTTCATTTTCATAACTCGTAATGCAGAACCAAACGTAACTCAAAGCAGACACTCGATGATGTAGAGGGGATCAATTAATAGAAAAAAAAAAGAAAAAAAGAACGAATTGCTAGTCATGATCAAAATTTTATTAGATGCATAAAAAACTAAAGAACTAGAATGATGACATAATAGTAGAAAGGAAAAAAAAAATTAATACTAACTAAAAAAAGGTGACTAACTCACTATTTTTTTTTTATACAAAATAACCATGGATAGGAAATAGTCATGCCAACATTACTATTTTGAAGATCCTACCATTACTTTAATATGAATAACTATTGCAAAGTCTTGCCACTCTTTATTAATTTATTTCATTTTTTTTCTCATTCGTACAGTTAAACAAAAACAAAATGAGTCAAACTCATTATTTTGCATGATGAAAACCCTATTTTGCTGGCCAGACCAAATATGATGAATAGTGGAACCTAAGCTAACCCTTAGATATCTAAAGAAGTAAAGTATGTGATGCATTTAATTCACCATGATCAAAAATCATTCTTGTTGCATTTAACTCCCTAAAAACAGTCATAATCAGCCCAAACGAAATAGCTGCGAATGAAGACAAGCTAGAAAAAATGGCTAGCTCTAAACCAATTTATGATGATCTTATCTTTAATCTAAAAGTAAATTACAAGATTATAGAGACATGACTTAAGGGGTTTGGCATAAAACAATACATTCACAAGTATTAAAAGTTCCACTAATCAAAGGGATA